CCAGCCACATTGGAATAAAGGGAAATGAAGATGCTGATAATCTCGCGAAGAAAGCATTGAAGGAAGGACGGGATTGCACAATCCCTATATCTGGGACGGATATTCGACATTTTATATCGCAAGGAGCTAACCATTGTTCGATGAAGAAGTGGTTTGAGAGCCCTAAATCAAAGGAAACGGTACTTTATGAAGTTGATCCACACAGAAAATTTTCCATAGCGACAGACCTTCCACGACACCTAGAGACATTGATCCACCGACTTAGATTGAAAGTAGCATACACAAACAGCTTCCTGCACAAGATGCATCGATCCAACTCACCGGAATGCCATTGTGGTCATGCAGAAGAAAATGTTCGCCATATTCTTTTGGAGTGCGTTAAATACGCGAAGGAAAGAGAAAAATTAAAGAACAAATTAGCAAGTTTGGACAGACGGCCCCTCACAATAAAGAAACTACTTGGACCATGGCCTGAGATGCATCTTCAGAAAAATGCAATAATCTTCCTGACAGACTTTTTAGTGGAGACCGGACTGGACAGGCGCCTATGACTGACAGCCAGAAATGGGTATTATGTAAAGTGTGGTCATGTATATACTGGCATTAGAGTAGTAAGGTGTGCGTGTAAGTAGTTTATGACTGTGTGAACTGCGTGAAGAAAACTGTGTATTGGCATGTTATTTGAACGGGTTTCAGTGTGCTATTTTGTGTTTTTTTTCCTTTTCCGTATTGTTAATTTTTGGGTACCGTTCTGTATTATTATTTTATTTTTCGCTGCTGAACTTTGTGATATGAAGTAGCCGAGGCAATAGGCTCCTCAACATCTCCACAGCAAAACAGTTAAAACAGAACAGAACAGAACAGTGACACAGGGAAAGGTGCGCTGGTTACCCGTGGAAAAAAGCGCCCCTGGCTGTGCGATTTTCTTCGCGGAGTTATTACACACGCACAGCAGTTGCAGAGGCCGTAACAGTGAGAATATCTGCAATAATTCGGGTGGTTTTTCGCCACTTACAATGATCACCGAGATCACGCAAGCCATGATCGCTTACGGCACCAGGCAACTAATACCCGTCGTTTCCTGCCAATAAGCGTGCGATGCTTGAACCAGCCCGGGTGCCTTGTAATGACGTGCTAGAGGTCGCTGTCCCCCTTACTTGTTGGTTGTGGTGTCTTGCGGAGAATTTTTTTATTTTAAAACTGCCTGTTATTAATAGTGTTAACGTAATAATAGGACACTCTCCCCTAATTTAATCAATCTGGCGATGTTCAATGTTAACCGAAATGTAAGCACGCCTGGCCCTTCATTGGCATCGAAATGCGGTCACCGTGACCGGCATCCGAAACGTCGCTCCCGAGTTTAGCAGGACAACCCTAGCTGCTAAGGAAAAGCAGCACCTACTTTATGAAACATAAAAGACACCATTGCTATCTCTAATATTCACAGCAATCCCCGCGAGAAAGGATTGCTTACTGTCGCCGTAGAAATAAAACCCGGAGTTCCGTGCGAGAAGCGTGCATATCATCACTTAAGCCAGCATGAATGCGTTGTAAATGTATCCTGCTACAGGTCACCACACCTCTTACGGGATCATTGTTACGTCTTTGAAGGCAATAATATTATCAGTTTTGTTGTCCAAATTTCAGGAGTAACATTACAGCTTCGACTTAAGGAAGGACGTTACAGCTTTGAATTGAAGCAAAAACTGAAAGGTTACCTAGTTGGTACTGGGTCATATATGTCACTGTATGTCAGATTTCTGATTTCTCTGTGACTACGCGGTCTCTACTATGGCAGAACCATAAGCTGTCTGTGTGTTTAAAAAAAGCGTTACAATTTAGACTACTTGTTTAGAAACATTTATTGTCACAGACGTCAATAACATTTCAACAGAACATTTTAAAGACGGTAGTCTTTCTTGGGGACATTCGTCGCAAAAACTTTGGTCTGTCTGTCTGTCTTTCTGTTGAAACAGGCCGACCCCATCCGCAGCGCCCACCAATGTTGCTTAATATTTATCGTTCATACTTGTGCAATTGTCAATTAAAAAGCATTTATTGAGCATTTCTGGGGCAATCATAACAACCCGTTTATATTCTGCATGTGCGTCTTTTTCTAGAAAAAGCATAGATAAGTAATTATAAAGACCATAGTGTTCATCACGTTGCTCTGACTAGGCAACGCTTGCACGAAAAAACAATTGTTTCCAATGCCCCGCAGGGCGCGGGTTCGAATCCCGGCTGCGGCAGCTGCATTTCCGATGGAGGCGGAAATGTTGTAGGCCATGTACTCAGATTTGGGTGCACGTTAAAGAACCCCAGGTAGTCTAAATTTCCGGAGCCCTCCACTACGGCGTCTCTCATAATCATATAGTGGTTTTGGGACGTTAAACCCCCCATACCAACCAATTGTTTCCAATGCTTTCCGACCCGGTGGTGGCACCTGCCCATCGCCTTGCGTTCTACACCTTATTATCTCCGAGATGGGCCTGCAGGGCACGCGTGCTTCGTGTTCCAAGATAACTGCCAGATAGCGCTCATCCCTCATGTGTGACGTGACTTGATCCGCTCGTTGGCCTCCGCTGCACGCTCGAGGCACTCTAAAGCAGCGCCTCCAGAATATCATTCACTGATTTTTTTGCACAGAACATCAAATAAGTGTTTTCTTCACTCTCTCTATGTGCAAGACTATCGTCTTTCGATGACATTTACAGATTAACATGCAGATACGGGGCCAATTTCTTTCTTAAACATACAATAACAGTGATGACAAACAGACTGCGCACGCCATCGTCAAGCCGCATTTGTGGGAGCCATTCAGTCGACATTACCTGCGCCGAAGGAACCCTGCAGAACACTCAACGTTTCCCACGACGCAAAATTGATTTCACGCATTTTTTTCATTGAAGAATCACCCGCTACATCAATATTTGAAAACAAAAAGGAAAAGGGGTACTTTGGAGAGGATAAATGACTCTAAACGTACTGAACCAAATACAAGGATTAGTTGCTAAATATTGTCTTATTAACCTTACCTTTTCTGTTGGTTCAACTTTACCCGCATTGATGCTCTAGTAGCTAAGGCATTCGGCTGTTGACCCGAAGGTCGGAATACTGGATACCGGCCATGGCGGCCTCAGTTTCGATGGAGGCAAAAATATATAAGGACCACATGCTTCGATTAAGGTGTACATTAGAGCACCCCAGGTGGCCCTAAATTTCTGGAGCCCTGGCGTCTCTAAGCGCATGGTGGTTTGGGGTGTCGAACCCCAATAATATTTATTATTATGTTGGTTCAACATTAGTTCATTCACCCGTCAATCATCACTTATGCGTTTAGAGCATTAGGCGCTTCAGCTAAAAGACAGTTAAAAATTACTTTCTCTTCCCTTCAGAAATGATGGAAGATGTCCGAAAATTGCACGTAGATACCCGTCTATCAGCCATTGGCTGATTTGAACATGGCGCGCTCGGTTGTTACTGAGAATGCCACGAGCGGACGTCACATGCCCACGCGTGCGCACGCGATCGCACTGAAAAAGCCGCGTATTCGAAGAAAAAAAAGTGCGCAAGATGACGAGACGTGCGTGACGTTTTTTTGTTTGCCCTTCTCATCTCTCCCTGCTTAGCTTCCAGCGCTTTCGTCGGTACGAGATAAGAGAGAATGCGATTGCAGCGTGTGACAAATCTTTGTAACTGCGCTCGTACTGGGCGGATTCTTTAATTTTTTGCGGCGCTGAGTTTGTGAGGCAATACGCTTCTCCAGTGAAATAATTCCATGGTTACCCAAAAAAGTGTTTCAGGGCCCTCTTAAGTTAATATCTTCGGGTTTGTCTTTGAACAATTTTTATTGGCGAATCAAATAATCCTTTAGTGGATATATCTTATTCTTTTATGCTCAAAAGAGCGAGAGCTGCAAGGAATAAAAGAGGAACGAGGATCATAATTTAACAGTGAATATTCCAAATAATAAGGTCACTACTTATATAGCCTGTGCTGCTTCTATCCTTTCGAACAAGAGATTTTTCCAATTTAAGGTTATATGCCTAACATTGAAGTTCTCTGTTATTGTGACATGTCAGGTATACTTTCGTCAGGCTCGGGCTGCTGATGCAACCAATGTAGTATAGCAACATTTTATTGAAAAAACTGCACTTTGTGAATGTCTAATCTTCAATACACTCTCCCGCTGAACTACTTTCTACCTCAGTTTCAGTGAATGACGTGTGTAAAATTTGCAAGAACACACTTGCAATAATATCATTTGATGGAAACGTGGACAATATTGTAAGATTAGTATGTGACCCTGAACGCAACATCCTTTATAGATTGGCACTGCTAATAAACGACTGTGTAATAAATAAATCAGCTGCATGGCTTTTCAATAGGTACGCGTTTTTTATACAATGGGTATGCATTATCCACCAGAAAGCTGTCTAGGTCGCGATGCTTGACCGATCAACTAACATGCACTGTTCTTTCCTTCCTCTCAATCATAGGATAAGCAGAAGGAACAGAGGAAGTGTCTCACCCAGGCTGATGTTTTGATAGGAGGGTCTCTCTTTGTCAAAGGCACCTTGTCATCCCTTGTCAAAAGGCCCCGCCTCAACAGTGTAGTGACTAAGGTACTCGGCTGCTGACCCGAAGGTCGCGGGATCGAATCCCGGCTGTGGCGGCTGCATTTCTGATGGAGGCGGGAATGTTGTAGGCCCGTGTGCTCAGATTTGGGTGCACGTTAAAGAGCCCCAGGTGGTCGAAATTTCCGGATCCCTCCACTACGGCGTCTCTCATAATCATATGGTGGTTTTGGGACGTTAAACCCCATATATCAATCATGAAATCATCCTTTGTCAAAAGCACCCTCTCATCCAATTGGAACTTCAAGTTACACTGCTGAGGCTTACCGAAGATAACGACGGAATTGAGGGCCCCGTTTTGTTGTGTTGTGATGGTATTGGTGCTTTTAGGCACAATTACGTGCTGTCGACAAAGGAGGCACGAACGGGTTTACACAGTTTATTGAAACAGTCGTGATTATGTTATAAAGATTGAATGATAATGGATGAAAAAAACTATTTGATCATGTGAGAACTGAACTCATAAGTTTCTTATTACACATTCAAAGTTTCAGCGTGAATATCGGTCACAGTAGACAAACGGGTTGACCGACGGGTGCATTGCTTTCTTATTGGGTTTATAACTTGTAGCCCTAACTCTGGTGGAATTGCCATCACGCTTCAGGTAGCTCTAAGCGTAACATTGTTACTTGTTTCTAATAACGTACAGAATAAACCGGTGTTCCGCGAAGAACAGTACTTTTAAGGAGAATGTGCACGTTGATTTCATCACTGCATGGTTGTAATGATTCAGCCGAGGGACCTCACGATGGCCTTCAGGGGCAAGATAAAGTTCTTGACCACGGTGAAGTTGTTGTACTGTGGCAGCGCATCCAGTGAACGACACTGGGTGGAGTCCCTCTGGTAGGCACCGCAGATGATGCTGAGCATGTTGCCGAACACGTTGTCGGTCGTCTCCTCCATCAGCTTGATGGCGTCCGGGTCCTGGCAGTGCTCAGCCAGGGCTTCCTCGCCGCACTTGTAGAAGTCATAGTACTGGCTGAGACAGAAAAAAAAGGAACACAACGTCAGTGGAACGTGATAAGCACATGGCATAGGCGATGTCACTTCGTACAGAGGGACAAGTGGCTGGCGCTGCGCCACACGTGGACACGATCTCCTTATAGAGATTTAATAAGAAGGATGGAGAACAGTCTTTCGTAAGACACTGGTCTTGAATGTATCCTTTGACTAGCATAACATGTGAGTGAGTGAGTGAGTGAGTGAGTGAGTGAGTGAGTGAGTGAGTGAGTGAGTGAGTGAGTGAGTGAGTGAGTGAGACGGCCGGTCAGTCGGTCAGTGCGTGTGTGTTCAGGTGCAGGGGGCTGAAGGGTAGCCAAAGAATGCTTGACACATTGAGAAACATGCTTCCGTGGAAACCCATTGCTGCAGATGGAGGAAGAAGATTCAATTTATTGAAAGAATCCGGCAGCCTCGGTGATGCTGATCTAATGCCTAGACGTCAGCCGTGAGTCCTTGGGCTCTGGCGGCGTCCTTGGTCCATGGGACTGTCCAAAGGTGTTCCTCTGGGCCTCTTCTGAGCAGCACGGTCTTCCACTGCTCATTGTGAGTAATTATGCGACCATGTCGGGTCACCTTTGAACGGGCCCACCGTATGTTAGGTAGGTCAGCCCTTTTTTAAAGACGATAGTCTTTCTTGGGAACCTTCGACGAAAAATATTTGGTCTGTCTGTCTGTACATTTGTCTGTTTATCCGCCCTAACGATACCTCAAACGGCACCAAACAGCCAACCCCATCCGCAGCGCCCACCAATATTGCTCAAGGTTTAGCATTCGTAGTTGTGCGATTGTCAATTAAAAAAGCAAATATTGCGAATATCTGAGGCGCCATACCAACATGTCTATGTTTCGCATGTCTGCCTTTGTACTAGAAGAGGCACACACAAGTAACTCTAAGAACTGTAGCGTTTAACGCGCTGCGATGACAGTGCAAAGTGATGCTCAAGAAAGTGTTTCCAGCGCTTTGCAACGACGGCTGGAGGTGGAACCTGCCCGTCGCTTTGCATTTTACACCTTATCACCTCCGTGACTGGCACGCATTTTTCTACGTGGTTGCGCATGCCTTCGTTTTTTAAGATAACTGCCAGATGGCGTTCTTGTCTAACGTGCCTAGATGCGCTTGTTCGCCTCCGTTACACGCTCGAGGCACTCTAACGCAGCACCTTCAGAATACCATTAAGCGATTTTCTTGCGCAGAACATCAAATAAACGTTTTGTTCACTCTCTCCAGACTCAAGACTATCGTCTTTCGACGACATTTACAGTGTAACATGTACATTCGGGCGAATTTTTTATACAGAATTTGCACTTGTTGTTGCACCAAACTGTGTAAAAATTTGGAGGACGCTTGAGGTTTGCCTTCAAGAGTATAACGCGATAGCGTAATTGGGCCCGGGTGCATCGTCGTCTCAAATGCTAGCCCTCCTTCGGCTCTCAGTGCATGCCTCAACTATGCTGTATGAAAACGAGTTCCAAGCAATATCTTAGCTCGCCCAATGAACACCTACTTGCCACGCAGGTGGACTGGGTTGGATCCTCATTCAATTGTATGGACAATCTCGGCTGGTTTCTGCCATCATCGTCACGCCATCTTTCACGTATATGTATATGTATGTATATACATACGTGGAATGATGCGCTATAGCCTCCTCTTTCTGTGGAGCAAACATTGACTTTCCGGCTGCGGACGTCTGCGTGCGCGCTTATCTCGTGAGCGAACAACCGGAAGGGGGCGCTGATGGCTGCCGCGCTATCGCCGCAACGATCAACGCACGGATTGTGCCCTCACAGCAGGCTGGAGCTTCTACGAACTGTGGTCTAAAAAACGGTGCCAAAAGTGTACCTGAAGCGGCCGTCTCACACCAGCGTTTTGCAGAGTTACGTGAGATCGAAACTAAATGAGTTGACTGCCAGCTTCACTTCGTATATGAACTCCGTCACTGTACACGAGCCTTGTCGTGGTCATCTACTCTGGCTGCGCTGCAGGAAACTTGGTTACTTAGCAAGCGCACGTTCACTACACTTATTATTGCTCCTAAAACGCTAGCCTTGCTTCGTAAAACATTCGAACATGTTGCTATCGCATTCATTGCATACTGTGACTTTTTTTTAACACTTATCCGTTTTATCGAGAGAGCAGGGGGAGGAGATGGGAGGAGGGGGCATCATGATTTCGGTCACGGATTTGACGTTGATAAAGTTACACTACCAAGTGAGAAAGACAAAAATTTTAATGAAGAAATACTTGGGCAGAAGCGGAATACTGAGGTAGGGCAGTTTTGTCGTGCTACGTGCTAGTAGACACATAACCGCGCACCTTAAAAACTACCACAAAAACGTTGGTTGGACCCAATGGGGATTGAAAGAAATCATGGCGTGTCTAAGAAGTGAACGATGATGAGTGGGTGAAGCAGTGGGATTCGTAGGCATTGCCGTAAATCACCCGTGACACCAACCAATCACGCTCAATCAGTGATAAAGCGGTGTGCGGTTATATACAATAATTACTGGGGATAGTTGGTATGTTGTGTTCAGTTGTGAATTTAGTTTTGCCTTCATTGTTGCTGCTTTCAGATTTAGCACAAGTTGGCTAAGACGTAGTCTGTGAACGTTGCTCTGGTGGTTGTTGGTTGTTTCCAGTCACACGGTATGCATCGTAAAGCATATCGAGACATCACATACTGCACAAGCCAGTCTCTGTGCGTGATCATCATTATCATCTTCATCATGATCAGCGTCATCGTCATCGTCATTACGTACAGTGGGCACCTTGCATGTGTTGTGGCGGGATGACAGAAATAGAATGTGCTGTGTGGAACGCGCCTGTTCTTCATCGTCATCAGTTGCATCGTCGGCGTCATCAAGGGACAATGGCGGACCCTGCTAGGCCATAAAAAGCTTCACCCCTAAAAATCACAGCATCTCCACAGAGTTAATGATGATGATGAGTGGGCGAAGCAGTGAGATGTCGCTCGGTGTTACCGTAAATCACCCCTCACATTACTGCCTCACGTATATACGTATATGAGTGACAATGTGGTGTACAGTAGTACTAGAATAAAATGTTTATTGGTCATAAATGGTATGTTGTGTTCAGTTGTAGACTTCATTTTGTCTTCATTATTACTGCTTTGTGATCCGTGAACTGTAGAGCCAATGGTTATTTTATCGGATGTAGCATGAACTTGGCAAAGAGGAGGTCTATGCACTATCCCCCATGCGGTTTTAGGTAGTGTCGAAGATCGAGACGTCTTATAGTGTACATCCAGTCGTTGTCTGTGATGTGAACGTTGAAGTCTCTGTGAAGTACGAGTCCTTCAAATCAGAATCGGCCTGGTGTTTTGTCATTTTGACGTCGTTTACCGCACCGTAAGTTTGCTTTAACTTCTTAGAGATGCAAAATAACAAAACAGATGAGATTTCAGCAGATCAAACGTCAGATGCTGCGCTGGAGCTCTTGGGCAAGCTACGAACGATGTTCATGGTTTCGTGATGAAAGAAACGCAAGTAAATGAAAGCCATTGATTTATGCTGTGGGAACCCGTATACGTTTGATTTTCATTGTATTAACTTTATCATGAAAATGAACGTGTTTTCAGCATAAAAAACGTCATATATTTGGACATCAAGGCTCTATGCTGACACAATGCAAGCCGGTGTTTTTTGTGTGTGGCGTATCATTCACTGATGACTAATTCTATTTGCTGTTTAAAGCTTCATGAACCCAATTGTCATGGAGTTCACAGAACGCAATAATTTACAAGGACCGGATTAACTGGCGGAACATGGGAGAGGCCTTTGTCCTGCAGTGGACGCAGTCAGGATGATGATGATGATGATGATGATGATGATGATGATGGTGGTGATGATGATGATGGTGATGATGATGATGATGATGATGATGATGATTATGATGATGATGATGAACCCAATTGTCGAAATCACCTGCCGCAAACGTGTAGTACCACCTAGTTCGCAATTATGAGTCGAGACATTCAGGTTGTGCCCACACAGTGTGGCGCTATGTTTATTTGAGCGCCCACCAACTATTTAGAACTCCACTTAATTCAAAGAATTTGTGCCTCTTTTTTTTGAGGTGACGAACTTTTCCTGTAATATATAGACACCCATTCAAGTTCCTTCAAATGCTCAATTTTTTGTGTGTTTGATTACCTTACTAGAAGCCCTCAAACCCTTTCATATCATTTCAAAAATTACGTGGTCTGGTGTTGTTATAACAAAGCAGAAAGCTTACCAACACGCGTACGCGATCTTGAGCTTTCGAGGGGCACCGTGAGCGGCGCGATACAGATCTTCCTGCAACCTCTTCATGCAGCCGTGGGCCTTCTCTCCAGCCATGTTCATGCACTTCACGTGCTTGAAGTAGCCTGCATTAAAATGAAAGTGCAAGGTGTCACAAAACGCATGAAGTGCTAGCAAACGAATAAACGCGTGAGAATTAATTAGTATTGCGAGCGCCGAACCACATCGCGGGCCCTGGGTGTCAGCACTGGAAAGTAAAACAGATAGAGGGATAAAATAAACATTTAGTTTTGAAACAGTGTTCCAACCAACGTGTCCCGTCATCCTGAGGTGGTACGACTCCCTGGTTCAGGAACCCTCCGGCTTAGACGGCCCTCTTGGCCCCGGTGACAAGTAGTCGATGGTCTTCCATGTCCCCGAAGTCGAGCTTATCCTACCACGTTGCGGTCGATTGGTCGTGGTTCGTTTGGCGTGCTTCACCCCTCCTCTGCGCTTGCACAATGCCGCTTGCATGACGCTGGCAATCAAGGAGCAAATGTACCAGGTTGTTCGGTACGTTGCGGGGGAGGGGGAGGGCAGATGCAGTTATGTTTCAATAGATGAATGCGCTGCATTGATACTTCCTGTGAGTATGGGCTGCTTTTGAGCTGTCTGAATGTCACGCTTTTTTTGTCCTTAGTTTGGGGTGACAGTGGATGGTACACCCATCGCTGGAATCTGTAGTGCTGGAGTAGTCGCGAACAGCTGTTCGGTGGAACGTCCCTATCCACAGCCATGGTTCGGGTATCTTGCGAGTCCGGAGCATAGGGGCCACTTCATTTCCCTGCAGATCCTTCTCTCCAGGTACCCACATTACGCCATTGAATGAGAGCGGAGGGCTTCGCTGTTTTTAGAAGAACTATTGCTAAAGTACACTACCGTTGAACACCTCTGATAACGTAACTCCTGCTTAATTAATGTGCCACTTTCTAATTCTTAAAACCCGGCGTTGGTGTCACTTTAAGGCGGTGCACACACCAACTCATTTAGATGCCATAGATTTTTAGGTCGTTTGCTTATGCGTTGTTTAGTTACGCTCTTTTTTGTTTAATTACGATCTTTCCAACCAACACAGGCAAGTGACTGCAATCGTGCAATCATTAATTGCCACGATTCGCACGCTACTGAGCAGCATACAATCTCCGTCTGCTAAGAGTGCACTGCAAATACTGGATGCACTGAATCCAGTTCTTGCTAACTTCGTATAAGCACAATGGCTCAACAAAATCTCATCTTCCGCACTGAAGTTAAAGGTGCGTCGATTTTTCAGTGGAATGCCAGAGGCGTGAAGTCCCGTATCTCGGACTTTCGCCAATTTGTCCGCGCCAATCAATTCCCTTTACTTGTCATATGTGAACCAAACGTATCAACGCCTTATAGATTGTCCGGTTATGAAGCTTTTTGTTCAGCCGCTTGCGAAGAACGAAGCAAAGTAATTGTTTACATTCGCACAGACTTCACTTATCTTTCACACCCAATAAGTTCAAATGACGACAATCAGTACGTGTGTCTTCGTGTAAAGAAGAATGCAGTTTCATTCACGCTTATTGGTGGATATATATCTCCGTCATCGCGATTTGACTGCGACAGATTAAAAGACACCCTAATGAGGACCGATGGGCCTTGGATCATCACCGGTGACTTTAACGCTCATCACATGCTTTGGGGGAGCACTAGGATGAATGCCAGGGGCCGGAACATTGTTACATTCGCTTCCGATTACGACCTTTCCATTATGAACGATGGTACCCCCCCGTATCTGCGGGGTCTCACTTATGGCAGTTGCCTTGACCTGACATTGGTGTCACGGTGCTTCTCTCACAAAGTTAAATGGTTTTGCGATATTGAGACTCATGGGAGTGATCACATACCCACCTACGTGACGATCGATGGTATCATAAAAAATTTCTCTTCCGGTGTTGTAATTGGCACTGACTGGTCGATGTTTAAATCGCGTGTTGAGGACGCTTGCCAAGAAGGCCTCGCCTGCAGCCTGGAAAATACCATAGCGGAAGCTATGCAAGCGTCCAAATGTAAATTACCATTTTTGTCTAAAATAACACAGTTCGACATTGAACTGGAAAGATTACGAGCTATACGAAGGCGTACTGAACGACGATACAGACGCACAAGATCAATTTACGATCTGAGGGAAGCAAGGCGGCTCCAGAAAAAGATTCAACGACGCATTTACAAGCTGGAGAGCGAACGCTGGAAAGCATTCTGCGAATCTCTAGACCCTCATAAACCGCTGTCATATATCTGGAGAACAGTTCGTCGTCTTCGCTCCTCTCCACAACAACGGCACCCTTTTAAAGCTTTGGCACTCCACCATGGAAAAACAGAACTCGAGGTGGCTGAAGAATTTTGCACGAGAGTTGCCGGGAATATTATGAACGAGCTAGAGCATCGACTCCGTGATGGTTCCTGAGACGCGATTACCAGAAATGGACATTCCATTCACCATTGAAGACTGGAAGGTGCTTTAGTCGCTTCTAAGCGCATGTCATCGCCAGGTCCTGATGGTATTACTTATAGTGCGTTGGGACACCTTGGACAAAAAGCCAGCAAAGAACTTTTAACATGCTTCAACAACTCCTAGCTCAGCGGCAGTGTTCCCCGAGAATGGAAAATAAGTCGAATAATACCCCTTTTGAAATCGGCAAAATCACCATTGGACTTGACAGCGTATCGCCCTATTGCCCTTGCAAGTTGCCTCGGAAAAGTGATGGAAAGAATGGTTCTATTTCGTCTCGAGTGGTACTTGGAACGATACACCAAACACCCTTCTTGCATGGCAGGCTTTCGTCGGGGCCGCTCCTCCATCGACTGGTGCTTGACTTATCGACATTTGTTCAACAAGAAAAAACCCGCAAGCGCGTATCAGTGGCACTCTTTCTTGACGTGAAGGGTGCATATGATAATGTAGCTCACGATGCCATCCTCAATTCCCTGGCAGCAATGGGCATTGGTGGGCGAATGTTTCATTGGATAAAAGATTATACAACTGGCAGGTGTTTCTTTGTGCAAACATATGAGGGTACAACTGCTGAACATTACACCTACTGCAGAGTACCTCAGGGAGGTGTTTTAAGCCCCAAATTGTTCAATGTTGCCCTCATTGGTCTGGTGAAGGTTCTGCCAAATTCGGTGTGCCTATCCATATACGCCGATGATATTTGCCTCTGGAGTGCTGCAGTTACTCGCCCTCAGGTTCGTGCACGAATAGAGCGGGCAGCAACCCTCACAACAGCCTACCTTCAGAAACAAGGCCTAACTATATCAACTGTGAAGTGCGCGTTGATGGCGTTTACGCGCAAACCAATGACGCCATACCCTGTTTACATCAATGGAAAAAGTGTCAAATATTCACGGACGCATCATTTCCGGGGCATAATAATCGACAGAAGTCTCATGTGGAGCCCACATTGTGCGTACTTGAAGAAGAGACTGCTATCTATTGTGCATAGAATGAAATTCATGTGCGGGAAAGCATGGGGAACTTCTGTGGCCTCCATGCTACAGCTGTACAGGGCCCTATTTTTGGGTCTATTGCGCTACAGCTTGCCGGTACTGACTAACACTTGCAAATCCAATACTCATTCATTGGAGAGTTTGCAGGGTCAGGCACTGCATATCTGCCTAGGACTGCCCCGATGCGCTTCTACTTATGCCACAATCATGCTTGCCAAAGACCATCCGGTCAGGACATATATAGTTGTGGATTGCCTCAGAGCACACATTCGACATGCTAGCCGTGTCCCCGACCACCACTTGGCCCTTCTACCCTCCAGAAGACCACGTGCTACGTTTTCAGACGTCATAGCCAAGCACCTAAACAGTATTTGATCAGGATATACGCCAGCTGCGAGAATGGCATGCCCTTTGTGGTGCCTCGACCAGCCGCAAGTACGTCTAGATATTCCGGGAATTAAAAATAAAAGCAATCACTCCAGAGTAGCATTGAAGCAAGCAACACTGCAATTATTACATGAGTTGTACTTAGACCGAACGCAGATATACACTGATGGGTCCGTCTCGTCCAGCAGCTCATCAGGTGCCGCTGTAATTCCGGCTGCAGCAATGACAATCAAGTTTAAGTTGTCGCATATGACTACATCTACGGCATCAGAGCTTGCGGCTATAAGGGCTGCTTTACAATATCTCGTTCAAGAACGTCCAGGAAAATGGGTCATATTCTGTGATTCGAAGGCAGCGCTCCAGAGTTTGCAGTCTGCCATGCGTAGCAGGAGTCATGACCAATTGGTACAAGAAATAAAACATTGCCATCATGAAGCTCTAGCAAGAGGGCATGATATTATATATCAATGGCTGCCTGGACATATCGTAATTACCGGAAATCAATTAGCCGATGATGCAGCCCGCTCAGCCCATGAAGGAACCCGTGTTGTCCCGATTCCTCTATCAAGGAATGATGCAGCAAGACAACTTTACCTGCTGGCTCGAGATCTCACACGCACGTTCTGGTCGTCTACCAGCTTCCAAAAGTGTCTATTTTATGAACTCAATCCTTCGCTCAAGCTAAAGCTACCATCACAACTTTCACGCTCCGATGCGACACTGTTATGCCGCCTTTGGTTGGGTGTTGCATTTACAAAGGTGTACTCCTTTCGCATTGGTATGGCAGACACTCCTACATGCGACTACTGCGGAGCTGAAGAGACCATCGAACACGTCCTGTGCAGTTGCGCTTGCTACGACACACAGCGATGCCAGCTCCGGATGGTTTTGAATCGACTTCACCCCGGGCCATTTTGTGTGCAGAAGATGCTAGGACCTTGGGCATCTGCCTCAGTTGCGCAGAAAGCAACAAAAGCACTGCTACTTTACCTCAAGTCAACAAACCTGAGTGACCGCTTGTAGACTGTGTGTGCTCCCCGAGTGGGCTCGTGATTGTGTGTACCTTCTCATCTCTCTGCAACCTCTTTTCTCCCCTTTATCCCTTCCCCAGTGCAGGGTAGCAAACCGAATGTGCGTCTGGTTAACCTCCCTGTCTTTCCTTGCATCTTTATCTCTCTCTCTTTATCTCTCTCTCTCTAATTACACTTACATAAATCAATATTGTTCTCTTATAAACAAATGTTCAAGACAAAAACTCCTCAATATGCACGTACCGTGTTACCTATTTGCCGAGACGCAGTCTGACTCTTTTTTTTTTCTGTGAATTCAAGCACCAAGAACTTGCGAGTTTGTTTTTTTTACAATGTACCAAGTAAACACACAACACTAACTAGACCAACACCGCGGAGCATTGACAGCCCATAACTCTTTCATGCACAGAATTTTATCTTCAGTAGGAAACAGTTTATTGAAAAATGAGGGTAAGAATAACTGATGTAAGGGTGAAGAGGGGAAAGCATGAGGAGGATGAGGTAATAGGCAAACTGTAGTGGAGCCATGTAAAGTGAAGTTTAAGAAATGTGGGAAAGAGAAGTTAGGGGAAGGAAGTGGGAAAGGAAGAGAAAAGGCCTCTATAGCTATAAAATAAATATGAAAGAAAGAAAAAGCACTCATGTAGAGAGATAAAGAATGAATAAAGAAACGAGCAAAAAATGACAAAAAAAATTCAGTCTGCCTACCAAATGTTCGCGCTTGCTTTTCAGCTGCGCTGTTCACCCAGCTTCAATCATTTTGGAACTGTCATATATTTTTGTGTTTTTGATGCTGAATATATGAGAAGGCTCTAATGAAAATAATCCATAGTACGTAGGTGCATACTTCTCCATCATTTTAACGTAATCGTGTACATTGATCAGAGCCCACATATCTCGCACAACGGATCTTAGGTTTCCGGCGGAATACTCTCGTAACCAGAGAGCATAATGTTCTGGACTGCCATGGGTCTTTCCACGCGCTACCCACACTGCCGCAACGCACGTGCCGGGACCCTTGCCGTACACGAGCGGAGGGCGAAGGAGTTTCGCCGATTCGCTCATTTTCCCCCCATGTGGGTGCGGAAGGTGCGCTAGCATGAGCGTTGTGGCTGTGCAGGCAGCGTGGGGAAAGGCCCCAAAGCGTCTACGTACGGCGCGAAGATAACAATGAAAGCGGCAGCTGTGGGACTTTACTCTTCGAAGAAGCAGCTGTTCAAGACGCCCTCGCTTCCTACTTACAAGAAGTCGTCCGCACATGCACCACTGCGCCGTCTTAGGGTGTGAAAACAACCAGTCCTAGAGGGAAAGATCACTGTTTGCGAACGTCAAAACACAACACGGGAAACGTGCCACTGCGGTGTTTTAAGTTCGCGCAAATCTCCATTTGGAAAAAAAAAAACGCCGAGATTCGTCGTCAGTGGTTAACTGCAACGAACAGGAATATCTACGATCCCAGTAAAGTTTTGCAGCAATAATTAGCTTGACACGCAAGTATGTTCTTATGGCACTTTTTAGAGAACAAGCTTGCCGAGTTGAAGCCTCTGTCTCTGCTACCAAGCGTACGCCAATTATTATACGTGATCATCGTTGAAATACGTTCTCACAAAAAACTTCGTGCGTGACTTGTACGTGGCGCCGAATTATTGTTGTATTCATTCGCAGGTTGTATTTCAACGGTAAGATATATTACGACTCACGCTTCCATGCACACGCCCCGCACATTTAGTAAAAATGCAACTGCGTTCGTACCTGAAGTACTTCCTTCCGCACTCTCGGTATTGTAGACGCTCTAGACATTCATGGTCTGTTCAGGAAGATCTTCACGACGTCCCACAAGAAAAAGCGCACAAGTTTCTAGAATAATAAATACGCGAGACATGCTTATACCACCGGACTCAAATTGGGAAGATTTTAGTTTGATTCCTGGAGCGCCCGCTCACATGGCCGCTCAGGGTGTTGCTTCACCACGCTTGCGACAAATAGCATGACGCGAAGACTGAATATGACGGCACACAGAAACCTCGCTGGGTTCTGGTGTATACATATATATGATTGTTGACTACGTCGTTTCAACTGATATGTTATATCTTTATACTGATAATTCATCTATATACATACGGTATGCGTTACTGTAAGCTTCAGAACGGGACATTATTCGTTCTTTTTTTTGAGACGTGTTGTAGTGTCATGGTGTTACTCAAGCTTATGTTGTGTGCGCTGCGTTTTTGTTGCTTGATAGTCTTATACTGCGAGAACGCTGCTCGATTTGTAACTTTTGAACCCATTATATTTTGTTTGATCCCTCTTACAGCAGAGAACTGGTATTTGTGTATTTGGACAACAACATCCCCTTATATCATGTCAAATAGCAAAAGTAGATTGCAAGCATAGCCGCCTGGTAACTAGGTCTGTTTTCCTTTCTCTTTGCTAGGCGCTCTTCAACACAGGCTGTCTTTTTTGATAGCCGTCGTGATCAATCCAGAGTCCAAATTGAATTGTCGTTCCATATACCATATATGATATATAGATACCATCTGTCACAACGCATGTGGACCGTGAGCGAAAAACGCGAGAAGTTCTGTACAGAACAGAGCATCATAAGAAATAATTTTTTTCCCAAAATAGACTGGAATATGTTGCGTGTTAGCATCGTCAACGTCGTTTCAAATTGGGTCTTTCTTTTACGGGCTGAAATGGTTTATCATTGATCTTTCTCTTTTTTTATGACCCATGTGTAATTGATTGATTTATGGGGTTTAACGTCCCAAAACCACCATATGATTATGAGAGACGCCGTAGTGGAGGGCTCCGGAAATTTAGACCACCTGGGGTTCTTTAACGTGCACCTAAGTCTGAGCACACGGGCCTACGACATTTCCGCTTCCATCGGAAATGCAGCCGCCACAGCCGGGATTTGATCCCGCGACATGCGGGTTAGCAGCCGAGTGCCTTAGCCACTAGACCACCGCGGCGGGGCATGACTCATATGTAGTTATCACGTTTCTGACATCACTGTATCAGTTATTCGTCTTTTAGTTTCTTCTTTTTTCATTCTTCACACGTTCTGTAGACGAGTAGACGAAAAATTTGGCTATACTCTCCTATCAAATAAAGTATTTCATTGCTTGTTGAGGAAACTACATTCTTAAAAGTGTTTTTCGCCATATTGCATATGGTTTGTATAGCCAATATTGTGAATCTGCTGTAGCTAGTGTTGTTACTTTTTCCCCTCGTTTTTCGTGCTTAAAAAAAAGTATTCAACTATTCAATCTCATTGTAACCCCCCCCCCCCCCCACTTTATGCCTCTGGCGTTGTGAGTATGGAACGAATAAATAAATAAAATAAAATAAATATATACTCACGCTTGTTTGCTGCGTGTGTCGTGTCGCACTTGGCTTCCAGCTCTTCCACGACTGCATTGATGGCCACCAGGGCGGCGCCGCGCGTGAAGCCCACCAGGCACCGCGTCGTGTAGTCCTTCGTGCATTCGGCACTTTTCAGCTCCCGTCTAAACGCCATGGGTAAAATGAACGACGTCTTTCAGCGGTCAATCTGTAGCGGGTTCGCACTTTCGACAGGTACTTTCAGAGCAACTCAATGACGCTGGCCTACGCTCACTTGCTGACCCACCTAGCCACAGACGAGACCGGAAATAGTACGAGCACCATATGTCTGGTCCATCATTGTATGATTGACATTGGCCAGGCTTTGAAGTGACAATAGCTTCAGAATAACACACCAGAGGTAAATGTAGCGCTAATGTCTCCGGAAGCAGCAGACCACGCTGTTTCAGCAAGCATGAGAATGCTGGGTAAGAGGTGCATTTGCCGAAGTTTTTTTTTTTTCGGCTCCATGTTGCTTTGTATAGCCTACGGCCTCTTTATCGCAGAACTAAATTCAGCCCAAGTTATAACAGACATGCTTCACCACCATGACCTTTTTAGACTGACAATTTCTAACTAGCTTATGAAGTTCACCCGAGCCATTTTTTTATCCGCACAAAACCAAAACACAACAATAAACAAAGACGCCAGAACATTCGCAGACGCAAGTGCGTCACACATCACAAACATGAAGCTTAGGCAAATGCATGTACTACTGGTCATTCCCACTGCCTCAAGCATTCTAGCTACCCAGATCACACAAGCAAGTATTGCAGGAAGCGTAATGGAAGCGGCGACCAATGCTGCCATGAAAACGTCCATAATCCAAGGTATTGTCAACAATTCCATTGCGTCAAACACAATGACGAGGGCATAAAGCTAAATCTACTCTTTTTGCAATGTATTTATCTTTAACTATTGCCTAACCTCGTCTTCAAAAGAATCTTGGGCTGTGATTTACTCAGGTTCAGCACCAATCGATTGAGTCGAGATTCCCCGAAGTGAAAATGAGAAACCAATCAGCATCCAGAGACTCGTTGTTTTCATCCTAAATAATCACCGTTATACCATAACCACAGTAATATCTCCTATTCAAGATGTTTTAAAATTAACAGAGGAAGGGATTCCGACAGACCAGAACTTTTCAAACGAAGCCTATCACGACATGTAGTTTAACTAGTTTGTTTCAACTTATGGTTTAATATTGCAACAGGATGCTATGCAATCAGAAGTAAGGGCACTACATAAAAGGGAGTCTCGTCGTGATCTCATTTCACGCCGTTCGATTCGCCACAGGGTAGGCTTGTGAAAATGATGCGGGTGCCTCTTTTGGGGCAGATTAGCCCTGAAAATTTGCGTAAAAATACGAGAAAAATCTAACTCAGACCAAGCTACTGTCTTTTCTGCAGCCATGTCGATCCATTCAATCATTCATTCATTCACTGTTTATTCAGACAAAAACAATGATTGCCTAGGCAATTGGCGCCAAAACTCACTTGCAACTTTCAGCCAGTTTCTCCGGCGTGTCGGCTAACTGAGGGCCCTTGGCGAACACAATGAAGTCAGTGTCGCAGGCCTCGATGACGTCATCGCTGCAGCTGAGGTCGTCCTTGAACTGAGCACGAACACAGCCTGCAGATGCTTAGGTCGTCTTGATATCGACTTCTCCACGCTACATGCAAAACAGCAAGCTTCTACGCGTTCAAGTTTGGTACGAGTACTTTAGCGGCCTAGGTTATGGCTGTGCCTCAACAGGCATGCAGTTGTTATTGGCAATGTGCCGGCTCCTGGCATCAAAAAAATGACACGGAGGAGTTTTTCGCATATTCGTAAGAACTTGACAATGACGCACCTAGACCTCGGCGCTACTGCGGTGCCTGCTTGTCTGCACTTTGTTTGCGCTGTTTTATCTGCAGAGATCGCCATGCCTCTCTAAGTTGTGCATGCACCCATAACCCACAGTGGAATATGATACGCGCACAGTTGATCACAATGACCATGGCGCAATTGCATTCGGAACACCGCTATACCCTCAGACGTGAATTGGGGTCGGCTTTCTTCAAATGCAGAAAATGCCTACAACCTAATTATGCGGCACTCTGTATCTTTATACGCGTACCTGTTATAGTATTTTCGTGACGAGACTGAGAACTTCATTCCAACTTTCTGCGTGAAAATTGCGCTTCACTCTCGTACGTTATATAAAACATAGAGAGATATTGAGTGTCGCCGAGTATGATCACCATTCAATGCAGGCACAGCCGCATCACTGCAAGATGTCTTACAGTCGTTAACATATAATGAAGGAGAGCTAGAGAAAATCCTGCCTGCCATTGGCGTGAATAAGACTCGGACCCACGGCCTTGACCGAGACCTCTGTAGCAGCAAAGGTAGAGGTACCAATACACAAATTGCTACACTAAAGCTATTATCACGAAGCCCGGCCGTGCACTGTGTCCCGTACCATGTCTTTAGGGGAAATGTGAACTTTCTTTCGTTCCTCACTTTCTATATTATGGTGTGTATACAACTTCGATGGCATTTCTCGCGCCGCGTGTTTCTTCAAATAACTTGAAACTTACTTTGCACATTTATGCAGGCTTCCTTGTAGACACTTAGCGATCTTTCATCTCCATTACGCTGTGTATCGCTGTAAGGATCACTTTGTTGGATACACTACCATGTTTGACGATTGTTCGTGAAGCCGCGTTCCAGGACCAACGAATGCGACAAAACCTGTTCACGCATTTCTGGTCTAATACTTCATGTTTTGATGCAAGTATAGTAGCTGACTGATTGCATATTATAGAGATAGTTAGTTACATGCTAATTAACTTTAATACTGAAGCTGACTTGAAACAACGTATTCCGTCATTTACTTTTTGTTAATGTCACACCGAGTTCTTTGGAATCCTTTTATGGGACTTCGACGCATCTCTAGACAATGCATCACAGTTCTTGAATGAAAGGGCTTCGGCGTCCATCATATTTGAATCGTGCTTTTTTGGCACGTGTAACCAAAGGTACTATCCACGAAGGAAAACTTCACGTGAATTTACTCAAAACAGTGCTTTTTAAAGAATTTTCGAAATTGTGCTATTTATATTCACTGAGACAGGAATACCATTTATAGAAGCCTTCTGTGGCTCCCTTTTCGCACAAGTGGTATGCCCTGCGATACAGCGCTACGGTTTTCTTCCCAATGCTCTTCTTCCTACTTTTTAAACCTTTCTTGGCACGCCCATTTGCACTCTTTTTTACTTGTATAGATGGCTGGTTGTGCTGTTCCTTTCATTGTGAACGTCAATTCTTTAAAGATTTGCACTATTGAAGAATGTTATTAAAATAATACCGTTATTCCGTACTTTATTTCCACCCAGCTACCAGAGAATTCTTATGCATTTCTCGAAAACGAGCTTTCTCAGCTTATTCTGATCAGGGAGGATGTGATCCCGCTACTTCAGACCTCCCCCTGTCTCAACGCGTTGTCTTTTATTAACGGCAGCCACCAAGATTCTTTGGCGCTGTAACGTCTCGTTGTGTGTCTATGCGTGCACGACATTTTCCGCGTGAATGCACTGCTGTTCTTGCCGGTACTCCACCTGCACTCCCAGCCTGAGTCAGCTGCCAGTTGTAGTTCCCCGTCTGGTGATTTTTTCGAGCGATATAGGGATTGCCCCTAGTTTAACGTCTTGCTCGGAGTAGTCAATTCCGTTAAACGGAGGGGCAAGCTGGGCCCCTGCATGTATCAAGTGTCGATAAGGGGGCGATCGCTCGCTAAACGAGGATAGCATAGCCTTGCGCGAGCCTTGTCTCACTCGCGATCTTTACACGGTATAATGAATCGCTGCAATGTGGTCGATCTGGCTTCTGACCTTCACAGATGCTTATTTAGGTCACCGGTAAGCTTTGTATACCCTTGCTTTGCTTTCTTGGCACTATGGGAAGGCACGTATGTTTCAGTAACATTGCGCAGTTTCGCCGCATAAATTTAGAGGTGCTTGCGTTGGGCTCTGCAGAAACTTGGCATTGCCTTTCAGCAGCCATTCATAACAACTGTGGTGTAGAACGCACTGGATGGACATTTTTATATAGAAACTCGCCTCCTCAGCAACCATGCATCCAATAAATACTTCATATGGCAATGACTTCTTGCGTTGGTAGAATTTTGGACGTGGTTCAGCAGAACGGAAAGGCTTTAGTTTTCACACACGAACTGCGAACAAGGAGTTCCTTACAATTTTTAGAAATTAACATGGCGTTCATGCGCGATCATGTTTGCAGGGAGTACGCTCCGCGGGCACAGAAATATTTATTGCCCTATTATTTGATGCATTCGAAAACGGTCAATAGGGTCCCACGATGGTTCACCACGATGGTTTGGTGGAGTAGTGTTTAATGCATGATGAAAGGTCACAGAGCGCATATCAACGAAGAAGATGGAAGAACACACACGACAAGTGCTGATTCAGCGCCTGTCTTGTGTATACTTCCGGCATCACCGTCCATTCGCTGTAGCCTTTCCTTCAACCAAGTTAGATGAGAGTATATGCAGCCCATCTTGTCTCCTGTTGGTGTTAGTGTCTCGTTTTTTTCGTGTGTGTGTGTGTGTGCTCAAAATTCACGTTAAAACAGAGATGAAGAGCAGATATCCTAGTTCACATCAAGTGAAAAATATCCCAGCATATTCACGTAGTGCATGATGACGAGTGGTGCGAAGCACCCACCAGTCCTTCCACGTTTTTGTCCGTCTGTTCGTTCTTGCTTCCGCCCGTCCGTGCGTCCGTCTGTGCGTCTATCCGTCCATACATGCGTCCGTCCATCTGTGCATCCGTCCATCCATTCGTGCGTCCGTCCGTCCATGCGTTCGTCCGTGCATCTGTCGGTCTCTCCGTCTGTGCGTCTGTCCCTTCGGGCGTCCATCCTGCGAACACTCCAAGTGCCGCCATCTCGTATCTTTTCATCATATATTCATCATATAGAAGTACCACCACCCAGCGGACTCTCCAAGTACTAAATCAGAGGTGGCACGGCCGGACTAGAGGATCGGCATGCGCGCACTTTCTTACAGCCTGCGCTTCGTGTTTAGTTCCCACTTTTCACCGCCGCTAGTTCATGGCACTGCGGCCTAACACTCGCTAAACCTTGCTATCCAAGGGGGTTGCGCCCAGTGAGTTTAACGTGACAACCCTTTCTGGTCAGATAGTGCTCATAGTGCGTACTTCTGATACTATTTTTGGGGGGGCGAAGCTCCCTATGCTGTGGGTCGTGCACCCGCGATGTATGTAGTAGTAGTTGTGTAGTAGTAGTAGTAGTAGTAGTAGTAGTAGTAGTAGTAGTAGTAGTAGTAGTAGTAGTAGTAGTAGTAGTAGTAGTAGTAGTAGCAGTAGGTAGCCATGTCCACGGCCGGACAAGAAGAGTGGTACGCGCACACCCTTTTGAATTTAGGACGAAAACCGCGCACGTTAATCATAAAAAAATATAGTTGTTTTTGATGAAATAACTGACAGAGACGAGTATTGGTGACTTAATCCTCAATGAAATTTGCCTTGAATTTGATGCTTGCTAAAGAAAACTAGTATCAGAAGGACGCACTTTGAGCACAATCAGACCAGAAAGGGTTGCCACGTTAAACTCGCTGGGCGTAACCTCCTTTGTTTTAGCAAGGTTTAGCGATGGCAGGGCCGCAGTGCCACGATTATAGTGAACTAGTATATACCCGTTTCCCATCCCATCTAGAGAGCCTTCGGAGGAGTAGCTGCACGGCTGCTCTACCTTAGATGTGCAACGCTCCTTTGGGACGCACGCCTAATCAGCGGCGATTTCCAACGGCGTCCCGGTTAAGGGACTGCCACTCAGGCACACAAGAACTATCTGGTTCATTTCAAAATAAACAAAAATCACAGCATATCTACGGAGTGCATGATCATTAGTGGGGCGAAGCGTCCGTCTGTTCGTTCGTGTTTCCGTCCATCTGTGCGTCCGTCTGTGCTACCGTGCGTCCGTTCGTGCGTGCGCCCGTCTGCGCGTTGATCCATCTGACCATGCGTCCGTCCGCCTGCGCATCCATCCGTGCGTCCTTCCCTGCGTTCGTCCATGCGTCCATTCATCCGTGCGTCCGTCCGTCTGTCCATCCATCCGTACGTCCGTCCATGCATCTGTCTCAGACGGAAGCACAGACGGACGGACGCACGAATGGACGCACGGACGGGCGGAAGCAAGAACGAACGGACGGACGGATGGACGTTTCACCCCACTTATCATCATGCACTCCTTGGATATATATATATATATATATATATATATATATATATATATATATATATATATATATATTCATTTTATTTACCCTAAAGGCCCGAAGCCATTACATAGGGGGGGGGGGGGGGCAAGATAGGTTTTTACAAAACATTTCATATAAAAAGAACAAAAATAGCGGTGTTCGATCATGAGTGCTCATAGACATGCATGTGCAGTTTGTCAAATACTCACGTCAAAGAAAAAATAATCACGAAAAAAAAAATGAACTGCTAAGCAACATACGTACAATTTATCCATAAATATATGCCGCAATTTTTATAAGTGTCAAATTCAAGGCATATTTTATTAGAAATGAAGTCGTCTCTGTAGGTTATTTGTTCAGAAACAACTATCTTTTTTATTTATGATTAACGTGCTTGGTTTGCCTCCTCAATTCAAATGATGCGCAAGTGCCGCTCCTCTAGTCCGGCCGTGGATGTGGCTATCTACTACTATGACGCACCACTAGTACTACTACTACTACTACTGCTACTACTACATACATCGCGGACGCACGAGCCATGGCTTAAGGAGCTTTTCCCCTTAAAAATGGACCTGAGCTGGCCATTTAAGAGATAAAACATACAACCGGCGGACATTAAAAGCCACAGAATTCACAAGACGGGGGGAAAATTAGGTCGCAGGGTAGCAAACCAATTCTTCAAGGTAACCGCCCCGTCTCTTTCTATTATTTATTTCTCTCTCTCTCTATAGATGGTGTGATATAATTAGGAAATTTAGGAAGTTCGTGGAAATAAAATGGAATCAGCAAGCGTAGCATAGAGTAAATGGGGGATGATTGCGTGAGTTTAGAAAAAGTGGGTAACGATTTAGAGTACTACAGGCACTCTACTATGGGAGAGCTTAAAGCCGGCCCGTTCTACGACGCTGATACATTTGTCCTACCCTATAGACTGTAACAGACTGAAAATGATGATGTGCGTGTACCATCGAATAGAGCTTTTTGCGTGAGAATCACTTGCTCCAGCTTTTTCTTTCTTTTAGACATGGATATAATACATACAATAGTATTTTCCGCGACAATATCGTTCATATCATTCTGGTATATCGGCAAAATGATACACCTTTATATTTACTTCGACGCAATGTCCACTTTTTAGGAGCAAGAGCACTGTATCGATTCAGCTTATCGGCTTGATAAAACTTTTTGTTCTGCAGATATTTCTTGATCGGGCACAATACACCTTAACCTAACCATTACAGCTTTCTTATCTAAATCCACTATTCCCGTGTCATGATACTTCGTAAACAAAAAAAAAGAAAATAGCGTACATGGAGATGGTAACTACATTTTTTGTATTTGCTTCGGCATAAAGTAGCCTGACATAAAGTTTCACGACTTTTGTACACAACTAGTTTTTAGTTTTTTTTTTCTACCTGACAATTGATTGCCTTGCATTCTTATAATGTCTAAGGCTCAACTTAGTAAGCTTCGAAAACAGCTAATAAGACGCTATGTCCGGAGTAACGAAAAATAACAGAAATGCATGACGTCACAGTGACGTTTATTTATTTATTTATTCATTTATTTATTTATTTAAAAGTACCTTACAGGCTCTATAACGGAGCATAGAGTAAGTGGGGTACATAGAAAAGAATGCTAGTGGGTGATACTTCTGTCACAATACAAAGCAACTACAGAGCAACTAATAACTAATAACTAATAAAAATACAAAGCAAGTAATAACATTGAACTAATAACAGTGGTTGTACAAATGACAAAGAGGGGCTTCAAGCAACAACAAGAATTTCCCAGCCTCAAAAAAGCACAAAGAACAAAAACTGAATTCAAGGAGGTTATACAATGCTATTCAGATAGATGTATCATTAATTGCTCGCGAAAATTTTCATGATTAGTCAAATTGACAATGACGTCGGGTAGGTCATTCCGGAGTGCTATGGCACGAGGCAAAGACGATGAATTGAATGATTTTGTTTTTCCAAAGATGCGTGTGATGCTTCGCTGATTGTGAAGTCGTTTAGACATGTGCAATGGTGCCGTTAGTGGGAAGGGTGGTGGCCAGGACGCGTGAATATATTTATGAAGCAAAGACAGGAGGGCAACTGTGCGCCGTATGTCCAGATGCTGTAATGAAAGGTCATGTTTTATTTGTGTGACGCTCGAGGGGTGATTGTAAATACGTGAAATGAACCATGCCGCCCTGTTTTGTACAGCTTCTAGCTGGTTAATGAGATAGGCTTGGAAGGGGGACCATATGGGTGATGCAAATTCCAGCTGTGGGCGAACAAAGGTTAAGTAAGCTTGTTTGCGGACGTTATTTGGCGCGTTTCGTAGGTTTCGACGTAAGTATCCCAGTGTTCTTGATGCGTTTGCAGATATGTAGGTTACATGTGCCGCCCAAGTAAGATTAGAAGTGAAATGAACGCCGAGGTACTTATACGATGACGATGGTGACACGTTGGAATTATTTATGAAGTAATCAAATTCAACAGTTAATTTTCTTCGACTAAAGGATATTACATTACATTTTGATAAATTTAAAGTCATTTGCCATGCACCACACCAGTTGTTAATGAGATTAGGGTCTTTTTGGAGAGCAAGGTGGTCATCGGTACTAGTTATAAAACGGTATAGAATGCAATCGTCAGCAAAAAGCCGTATTGACGAAGAAATATTAGTTGGAAGATCATTAATGTAGATTTGAAAAAGTAGTGGCCCCAAGACGCTACCCTGAGGCACTCCGGAGCTGACATCAGAAATTGGAGAGGAAGAGGTATTAACCAGGGTGAACTGCTTTCGAAAAGACGAAAAGTTACGGATCCGTGATAAGGTTAGCAAATCTAAACGAAGTTCTGTTAATTTTGAAATCAGACGGGAATGAGGTACGTGGTCGAATGCTTTAGAAAAATCTAGGAAAATGCAGTCAGTTTGTAAATTATTATCCATATTGAAGTGAAGATCAGTGGTAAATTCCAGTAATTGGGTGTCGCAAGAAAAACCTCACCTAAATCTATGCTGATTCTCAAAAAAGAAGTTATTGGTTTCCAAATGACAATAAATGTGCGAAGAAAAGATATGCTCAAGCATCTTGCAGCAAATGCATGTTAGTGATATGGGGCGATAATTTTCTGGTGAGTATCTATTGCCACTTTTAAATAAGGGAACTACTTTACCTATTTTCTAATCAGCCGGCAGTTGTCCTGTTGATAAAGATTGCGTGAATATGTGGTACAGGATTTTACTTGAGCATAATGACGTGTTTTTGAGCACCTTAGAATTAATGTTGTCAATGCCTGAAGAAGTTGATAATTTAAGTTTTCCAGTAAGATTCGCAATCCTTTCAGTGCTGACGGCAGTAGGTTCCATGAATGTATAATAAAACTCGGGAACTTCTGGCACTCTGGAATGATCTTCACACGTGAACACAGATGAAAAAATGAGTTCAACACTGAAGCGCTGTCTACATCTGATAGAGGCATATGGTTAGCATCTTGTATACTGACAGATGTGGTAGCATTGTGAGGGGAAATTACTTGCCAGAATTTTTTCGGATTAGTATTTAACATGGAAGGCAAATCGTGTGTAAAATATTTAGATTTCGCTTTGCTTACAAGAGAGCAGTACTCTTTCAAAGAACCCTTGTACTTTTCCCAATCTGAAGGGCTCGAAGTGCGTTTTGCAATTTTGTAGAGCCGCTTCTTCTTTGATCTATGAGACTTAAGCGTTTTGTTAAACCAGGGATTTTTATTGTCGTTAGAGATAGAAATTAGGGGAATATATTTATCAACCAAAGTAATGATTTTGTTTTTGAAGAGAATCCAGTTTTCGTTGACTGATCGGTACGGGAAAGATGGAAGAAAAACCTGATCGTAAAAAACTTCCAATTCATCATTTATACCTTCGTAATTACCTCTGTTATAGTCCCGAATTTTTTTAACAGTGCTATGTAATACGTGGGTTGGGAGGCTAAGTGTTATTTGAAGTAGCTTATGGTCACTGAAACCATCTACGTGCAGAATAGAACTAACATTCTCATGAGCGTTAGTTAAAATTAAGTCTAAAGTGTTTGTACCACGAGTCGGTTCCTTGACAATTTGAAACAAGTTATAATCTAGGGTTAGGCTTACAAATTCTATTGCTTCGTGGCAGGTAGAAGTTAGGAGAGACCAATCAATCAATCACGCTTACCGGTGCTGGAACACCAGCGCGAAACTTGAAATAGGAAAGGAGGATTTGATTGATTGATTTGTGGGGTTTAACGTCCCAAAACCACCATATGATTATGAGAGACGCCGTAGTGGAGGGCTCCGGAAATTTCGACCACCTGGGGTTCTTTAACGTGCACCCAAATCTGAGCACACGGGCCTACAACATTTCCGCCTCCATCGGAAATGCAGCTGCCACAGCCGGGATTCAATCCCGCGACCTGCGGATCAGCAGCCGAGTACCTTAGCCACTAGACCACCGCGGCGGGGCTAGGGAAAAGAGGAGGAAGAAAGGAATAAACGGAAGGACTGGAAGGTTAGCTAGTTCTCAGGCCGGCTGTCTATCCCATGACGAGGAATAAAATATTATGGAAGAGAGAAGTTACAAAAGAAATTAAGTGGATAAATGACATTAGGCGACACTGTCAAAAGTCTTTCTGTGAGACTAGAACTTTTGTCCAATGGCTATGGTGGCCTACTGCTGAACTGAAGGTCACGCGGTAGAATTCCAGCTGCGGCCCCCGCCTTTGAATGGAGGTGAGAGGCCTGTGCAGTGGCATTTACGCGGACATGATTTACATTCACCTAGACATGTGCTCAACATTTCCGGAGCCCTGCGCCAACACATACCTCATAATGGTGTCATCTTTTTGCAATACAGGACACCAACAATTGTTATTAATATAGCATCCGCTGGTACAAATGGTCGGCTGGACACCAGCCGCGGAACACAGCTGTCTTTTCTATTATAGTTGCCATGCTTCTTTGATATGCCTGTCACATTGCAACTCATTTAAAAGTGACTGTTAAAGCGCGCTAGAATAATGATCAAGATATTGTAATCAGTACGTGTCAACGCAATCCAAACGCAGACGGTAGCAAGATGGCACATTTTTAACTCACCCTCACGACTCCATAATGCGACGAAAACGACGGCAATGAGAGACAGGTATTCCATGTCGGGGGCAGAGACAGGGACCACTTAGAAGTTCTCGCACAACGTCTTTTTTTTTTTTCCTGGAGTGACGTTTTACCTATTCACAACAGGCTAACAGCCTGGCTAATATTATATCTCTTACTATACGCCTCCAGCGCACTCACACACTCGGACGTGAAGGGCAGGTCGACTGACTTTCAATCTCATGCGCTCAAGTGTTTATTGGATCGCTTATTTCTTAATTCATAGGGCCGCTAGAGTCGAGACGAGATGACATAGTTAGGTGACAGGCAACCTCCCATTGGATAAAGTTTCCTTCCCGGCGTGCCACGGCCGCAACCAGCAACTTTCGCCCTCCTTCCGTGCGCGCGTTTGTTTTCGAGTTCTTTACTTTCGGCTCGCCTTGACTTCGTTCCGAAAGCGTTTTGCCGAAGCTTCGCAAAACATCGAAGCTTGCGGGGTGCAAAACTTTCACTCGGCGGTTTTCACCGGCTGCTGTCTTACTCCAGAAGCCGCCGGCTTGTCCCCTCGTCCAGAAAAGCCCGCCGAGCGATCCGGAAAGCGCGAGAAAACGCGAGAAAAAACGAGTACAAGGTCAACCCGTTAGGCGAGAGCGCTCGCACCTTTTCACACTTTCCCGCGCTTTCTTTCTTAGCGTTGGCTCTTTTCCGGCATTTCCGCTTTCTTCCCGCTATCGTCGCACTCCATCACACTGCTTTCGTGCGTTCGTTCTTTTCCCGCGCTTTTTACTTGTTCCGTCGGGCAAGATAGGCAACATTTTTAGGCTCTCAAGCAGCGGCTGAGTTTTCTTGCTGCTGTTTGGGTGCGCAGCGGAAAATCGGGTCAAACGCGCGATGCCCGTTTTGCATTGCGCGTACGCTGCGTTGCATTGTAAGTAACAAGCTCTCAAACTTAGTCGCAGCCATTTTTGTATGTGTTTTTTTTTTCATCTTCACGACCGTTTACGCTTTCTGCCGGTGTGTCCTTACAGCACACTTAACTGCCTCATTCAGTAGCTAAAGGCTGAATTGCAAGGTGTAGGCACTTAGCCGGAGAGATTTCATCGCAGTTATAGATTGGTCGCTGTCCTTGACTAATTTGGGCATCCTCGCCCATTCGCCTCCGAGATCCGCGCGGTCATTCAGTCCTTGGAATGTCCGCTGGATGGCGGTGCTTCTATATGAGGAATATATGATGAAAAGATGCGAGATGGTAGTACTTGGAGTTTTGAACAGGTGGACTAACAGACACACAGACAGATGCATGGACGGACGCACGGATAGCTGCACAGACGGATGGATGCATGGACGGACGCAAGAGCGGATGCATGGACGAAAGCAGGGACGGACGCACAGATGAACGTGCGGGCGCACGAACAGACGCACGCACGGACAGGCGAATGGACGCATGGGCGGCCACACAGACGCACGCATGGATGGACGGAAGCAAGAACGAATGGACGGACGGATGCTTTGCCCCACTATTCATCATTCACTCCATGGATATGCTGCTATTTTTGTCATATTTTTCAACTAGACTTCGAAATTGCGATTTGACGCTCCTTTCTAAAGTGCTCCTTTCCACCAATTATTCCGAGAACATAGAGAGAGCGGGAAGAAGCATGTCGTGCATAAATCTAATACAGTGTTATTAAGGTTTCTGAGAGATCACTGCGGAATAGAAGACACAAGATGGCAAAGTATCTGACTCAAATTTTTTGATGGACATACATTATGTTAAAAAGACAAAGGCCATTAGCGAACGTCAATGCAATGCAAATATCTGACGCATTTTCGTTATGTTTTAGGCGTACAGAAATTGCAGCGCTGGGATAGGTAGCCCGAGTCATTATTGTGGGCATGTGGCATAACCTATACGCAATTAAAATGTAAGAATTCGCTTTTTTTTATGAAATACAAGTGGCTTGTGTTTATTTGCTTTCTGTACTACACGGGACGACCCGTTGCTGTAAGCGCGCCAGGGACGGCTTTCAGCCCTCCCATAGTAGAGTACCGAGTACTCAAATCGTTAAACTCTTCTTCTAAACGTACTACACGGGACGGCCTTCTGCTCTCCCATAGTGGAGTACATCGTACTCTAAATCGTTAACAACTTTTTTCTAAACACACGGCCATCAGATGCTAGTACAATGATGTTTTAGGGAGCACCAAGCAAGTGTGAAGTGTTTTCACACAAGTGTTTTAGGGAACGCCAAACAAGCTTGAAGCCGTTCCACGGGACGGCTTCAAGCTCTCCCATAGTAGAGTACCAAGCACTCTAAATTGTTACTTATTTTTTTCTAAACACAACTGTGTGCATTGATAATTTCCACAGGACGGCTTTATGCTCTCCCATAGTAGAGTTCTCAGTATACTCTAAATCATTAACAACTTTTTCTAGACACACAAACCTATTTCATTGCATCTATTGTATCACTAAACCATTGTATCATGATATCGCATAGAGTTCTTGTGAACACGTATGCCAACATTGTCATGCATATTGGAGCAAATGTATTCACTGCAATGTCGTGATGTTTGTCGTGATATATGGATGTGCCGAAGTGTATGTGCCCTGTTACTGGAATGTTATGAAGCCTTTGTGTTCTGTGCATACTGTAAATATTTTTTTTTTCAAAACACGAACCTGAATGGCGCCGACCATGAACAATTCTGGCTTCTAATCCTCATTTTGCACAGTTGTCGGGACGACTCACTGCTCTTCCATAGTTGAGTAAGAATTGCTCGAATTTGTTAAACACTTTTTCCATGCACACAAACTTTGGTCATCCCTATTGTTGTTGATTAGGAACATTCGCAGCCAATTTTGTTTTCCAAAGGATGGCTTTCAGCTCTCCCATAGTAAAGTACCGAGTACTCTAAATCATTAACCACTTCTTCTAAACTCACGGACCTGTCTCTTTGGCGTCTCATTTATGGGCGCGGCCCCATGACATGTGAGGTATGTGTACTCGAAATCGTTGAACACTTTTTTCTAAGTACGTACCTTTGCACATAGTTTTCTTTGTGCACGCTAGAAGTTCTGTTTGCAGGTATAAACTGTCCCTATTGTTCATTTGAATGTATATTAGAATATATTAGCAATGTTTTGAGAACGAAAAGTGTAACATACCAATGTATTTTGTCTATGTATGCTTTTTTTCCGAAATAAAAAATCCTCTTAAATATGCATCCCAGGGGAATGTCTCCTGCTCTCCCATTGTAGAGTACCAAGTACTCGAACACTGGTGTCACACGGGTGTTTCGAAGGCCATTGAATGACGATCCATCGACTCAACTGACAAGGACGAGCTGCGGCATGGGCGATTTCGAAGGCCATTGAGTCAACGGAGCACCTCACACCTCCGTTGAAACTTCGATGGCTATTCAGCAAAAGATGCGGAAACAGCGCCAACGCGCACTCTCGTTCTTAGTGTGCTCGAATCCCCGATAAGAAAAAAGAAAAGTTTCAGTATTTTAAAAGCAGCGTGCGTGGGCGTTATAAATTATCCAATAAGGTATTTGTGCCGTTTTGTAATGTAGGAACAGCTCATACTCTCGACAACAGCACCGCGCTGGCTTGTCGTGCCCGTTATCGCCAGTCCGTTTCCGCTGCCATATTGCGCGCAGCGTTGTTAAGTTGTGCCCTGCTTTTTAGGTGTGTTTGTGTGAAACAGCGAGTTCTGGGACGCGTTTCTTTATTCGGTGTAGTTACTCCTTTTTCGCCTTTGGTGCGAAATGGATGACGCGTCACCGCAAATAAAGACGAAAAATCACTGCATATCCACGGAGCGAAGGATGATTGGTGGGGCGAAGAGTTCGTCAGTCCGTCCGTGCTTCCGTCCATCCATGCGTCCCCTTACAAAAATGAGGATGACATTCCTATCACCCAGGAGTCATCTATCACCCCAGTCACCTTCCTGTAGATTCGACCTTTCTGTAGACCTGGTCTGCAGATTTTCTGCAGACGCCAGGCAGACGGCAAGCAAACTTTTCTGATAATGTGCATCCAGAACGCGTGCGCGTAGACGTATGTAACATATATATAAGTATCTACACATTCTGGAAGGCGGCACACTTGATGATAACGATTTAGTGGGTTTCATCTTTTAGTCACCTATCAGTCACCCAACAGTAATCCCCGTGCAGACCTTGTGTGAAGATTTTCTGCAGATGCCGATCAGAGAGAGAATAGACTTGTCTGTTAATATCGACTCTTTAAGCGGGTGTGTGGATGCATATAGTATATACATATATATCTATATATTCTTGGTCATGACACAATTGATGACAATAATTAAATGGACATCACCTTTCAGTCACCTCTCAGTCACACCTCTACAGACCTGGCCCGCAGATTTACTGCTGACGCCAAGCAGACGGCAACCAGACTTGTCTGTTAATGTGGGTGCTGTGAGTGCCTGTATATATACATATATATTTAATGAAATCTAACAGACAATAATGCCAAGGAAAGTATAGGGTTATTAGACTGAATCAGGTTATTAGACAGAATCGTAAGGTAAATGTGAAGAAAGAAAAGTGGGTGAAAAGATAACTTGTCGTTGGCAGGAACCGAACCTGCGACTTTCGAATAACGCGTTCCATGCTCTATCGCTGAGCTACCACAGCATGTATCCTCCCAGCCACTTTATTGGGCATATATGTGAATTAAATATGGAATGATGCAGCAAGACAACTTTACCTGCTGGCTCGAGATCTCACACGTACGTTCTTGTCGTCTACCAGCTTCCAAAGGTGTCAATTTTATGAACTGGATCCTTCGCTCAAGCTAAAGCTACCATCACAGCTTTCCCGCTCCGATGCGACACTGTTATGCCGCCTTTGGTTGGGTGTTGCATTTACAAAGGTGTACTCCTTTCGCATTGGTATGGCAGACACCTGTACATGCGACTTCTGCGGAGCTGAAGAGACCATCGAACACGTCCTGTGCAGCTGCGCTTGCTACGACACACAGCGATGCCAGCTCCGGATGGTTTTGAATAAACTTGACCCCGGACCATTTTGTGTGCAGAAGATACTAGGACCTTGGGCATCTGCCTCAGTTGCGCAGAAAGCAACTAAAGCACTGCTACTTTACCTAAAGTCAACAAACTTGAGCGACCACCTGTAGACTGTGTGTGCTCCCCGAGTGTGCTCGTGATTGTGTGTACCTTCTCATCTCTCTGCAACCTCTTTTCTACCCTTTATCCCTTCCCCAGTGCAGGGTAGCAAACCGGAT